GTGGCTCAAGTGATAGAGTGTGCTAGCTTTGAGCTGAAGAGCTGAGGGACAGCACCCATGCTCAGAGTTCAGGCCCCCGGATGGGGGAAAAAAATCCAGTAATATAGATTAATTTTATCTATCTATCTGTCTGTCTATCTATCTATCTATCTATCATCTGTCTGGCTGGCTGGCTGGCTTGGGAATCCTTCAGTCCTTTAGTGTGTATACAACAACAAGGAAATGATCTGATTAGTTTTCTGTTATTTCTTTAGAGCCTAGAAATGTATTTGGTCATAGTAGGTATGGAAATCCTTGTAAATTGAATGAAAAAGAATATTGCTAACAATAAAGGGTGCTGTCTTATTTAAAAACAGCATCTATTTTGGAAATCTTATTTAGAAGACTGTAAAAACCTTATTAGTGTAAAAAAACGTTTTAGTGTAATTGGTCAGAATTTGATTTATTAATAATAAAGTAAGATATACTGAGCTTTCAATCCTGGGAATTATATCCAAAAGAAGAAAATTAATTTAGAAGAGTGAGCTCTAAAACTTTCAAGTAGAAGCAAACTGAGATAAAACAAATACTTATTTTTTTCATTTTTGAATATAAGTCTGATGGCAGTTAAACTTACTTTAAACCTCAAGTGAAATTTTATTAAGAATGCCTATTAAATATACTCCCCAGAATTTTATTTTAATATTATTTGGCACTTAAGCCTATGGCAAGTCATAATCTATTTAGATAGCTATGTATGTGCACACATAATCACCATCAACTTTGACCTTTTACTAATATAGACGTCATCAACAAGATAGCCTGAAGAAAAACTGAAGCACTTTTTGCATCTAAGAAGAGTATTTTTCTTTGTTAAAAAGCCCTAGTCCTGGGGCTCTAACTCAGGGCCTGGGCGCTGTCCCAGAGCTTCTTTTGTTTAAAGGCTAGTGCTCTACCGTTTGAGCCACAGCTTCATGTCTGGCATTTTGGGTAGTTTAGTGGAGATAAAAATGTTACAGACTTTCTGCCTAGGCTGGCTTCAAACAATGATCCTCAGATCTCAGCCTCCTAATTAGCTAGGATTGCAGGCATGAGACACCAGTACCCGGCTTAGAAGTACTTTTATTTAGGCCGGGCGCTGGTGGCTCACACCTGTAATCCTAGCTACTCAGGAGGCTGAGATCTGAGGATCCCGGTTCACCGTGAGACTCCTATCGCCAATAAACCACCAGAAAACCGGAAGTGGCGCTGTAGCTCAAGTGGTAGAGCGCTTGCCTTGAGCTGAAGAACTGAGGGACAGCGCCCAGGCCCAGAGTTCAAGCCCC